AGATTGATGTTTAGAGGACATAACATGGTGCATTGCATGACATGGAAAGAACGGAAATTTTGATAAAGGTTTTGAGAAAGGAAGTTTTACAAAATAAAAGTTTTTATTTGAAAGGGAAGTTTTTTTTTTTTTTTAAATGAATCGGATTTCGCGAGTTCGGGGCTAACTTGACCTAGAGAGAGCGCGGTTCGGTGTAGGGCGTGAAAAAGTTGATACTAGGCCCAAAACAATTGCCAGGCTTTGCCAAAATTAGAACCGGGGATAGCTATCAATCTCGCATTGGTAAAGTCAGTTAGCGGTTTTCGAAAAGTGGAAAGTGGGTCGGTAGAGACCAAGTATGGGACAGAGTACATTACATTTTATATCATTCGCGACATTTTATAGAATTATAATGTGTGACTAAAAATAATGCTTGTTCTGATGTAAATGTTACGTGGACTTCCAATGCATGACCCTAATATCTTTTATCCCATTATGTGATAAGTGGCTCAAGGGAGTCCAAACTTGACGCCTTAGACGATTTCTACTGAGCCGTTGTGCTCACCCCTTATTATTAAAATTTTTAGGTCACAGGAAGGAAGTGGCAAACGATACTCCTCCACGAGTTTAAATGAGTTAATGGACTGTTTTGACATCCTTTATATTAATAATCTCATTTTTTTTTTTTTTTTGTATAGCCTTGGGATGATACGTTTATTATGTATCGACCTTGGAGTTGACTATAGTGCCCTTAGACGATTTCGGGTTCGAGTAAGGACCCGGTAATCGATTCAGACCTCCGAGTTCGGGTCGTTACAATATACAAGTAGAACTGATAGGAAAACTCTCCACTTCTCTTTTATCAAGAAAAATAAAGAGTTTTTTTTTTAGATGGGGTATCATAAAATTTAAAAGTACTTAGAATTAAATTTAAAAGTACTTAGAAAAAAAAAAAAAGAAAAAGAAAAATTACATATCAATTTTGGAATAGAAAACTTGAATTTGATAAAGGTATAATTGGAAGATTCAATAGTTTAAAACTAAGATGAAATTTTGTATACATGTAGAACTGATTGGGAAACTCTCCACTTCTCTTTTATCAAGAAAAATAAAGAGTTTTTTTTTTGTTATTTTTTTTTTAAAAAAGGAGTATCATATCTCAAGTATCTTATACATTCTCTACATTCGCATGCTCCTAGGGACAAGAAAGTCTACAATACCCCAAGAGTACCGTATCCTTAGGTTTTCAATTGTTTGATCATTCACCAGATAGGTCTCACTACCACATTCAACAGTCGAGAACACCACGATACGGTATCCGAAGTATTGTAAACTTTCACCCTAAGACATAAATTCTCCACCTTCTATTCTTGCAAAAACTTGAAAATGCCATTCGACTACAGCCCTTTGTGTCTAGAGGAAGATTGATTTAACCAAATTGTACAAATTTTATATTCTTACTTTAGTTTCACGTTGATAAGTAAAAGAGAATTTTCAACTTCCACGCTCTTCAAAACATTTAATGCAGTTTTTCATAGAAATGTTTTCATCATTACAAAAACATGTAGGTAATAAGGGCCTGTTTGGGAGATGTTTTGTTTTGTTTTAGACTTGCTACAGTAACCTCTTTTAAGCCCAAAACATGTTTGGTTGGGCTTGTTGTGTTTCAAACAGTTGTAAAACATTTTCAAAATTGGGCCCAAAATATGAAACACCAAATTGGTGTTTTTTGTTGTTTTGGTTTTATTTGGGGTAAGAATTACTGTAGCGGAAGAAGCAAAAACGGGCATTTAACTATAGCGGATGCAACACTTGTTTCACGTATAAAACCAAAAAGTTGCAACAATCTAGGGTTTGCTTTGCTCGTTTGGTCTGGCGATTGTAGGCGATTCTTGGCGACGGCTGGGCAACAACTGAGAAGGACGATTCCACTGTTGTTTTCGGCCGATCTCTTCGACGATCTCTAACCAGGTGCATGCCTCTCTCTCTTGTTTTTATCTTTTCCTCCATTTTATTTTCCTCTGTGAAACAGTTTTTGCCCCTCTTGTGTTATTTCGGCTTCCACCAATTGATCCTTTTCATTAAAACCTCAAATAAAACCCAAGTAAACCCTCAGTCACCAATCTGTAGAGAGAGAAAGAGGGAGGGAAGGAGAGTCTAGTGAGAGAAAATAGGTATGGCGAAGGATAGTTGTCTAACTCGAATTGCAGCAGGCGTTGCAATCGGTGGTGCTCCTGGTGGCGCCGTTGGTAATTTCATTTTCCCCATCTCTTTTTTTAAAACCCTAATCTCCGTTTGTTTGGTAAGAAAACGCTGGAAAAAGAAGAGAAATAAAAAAAAAAATTGAAACTCGTAGTTACTTGTTGTGGATTGTTGTTTTTCTTAGGTACAAATTGTACCTTCGAGTTCTCAGAATCCTAGTTTCACTCCTTGAATACTTCACTGAAATAGCATTGGCATGATGATTGATGAATTTCCTAATTATTAGACTTGTTATATTAGATATGCTTCATGATTTGTTCTTCAATTTAGTTTCTGGGAGTCGGCCATTTTTTTATTATTACAAAAGCAACTTTTATAATGCTAATGCGTGTGTATGTTTGTATTTGTATGTGTTTGTACATGTGTTTGTGTTAACACAAGGGATTAGAAGTTGACTGAAGGTATGTATTGGGCAGATAAGCTTTGTTGTTAAAATTAATTGAATTGAAATATATGTTTGACTTCATCCAATCTCTGCAAATTGCAGTATTTGTGCAGTGCGCATTAGAACATTGTCGACATCATCTAGATTATTGGTAACTTGGGCCTACTGAATCATTGCAGTGCAATTTATGAATTTCTATTACATTGAAGTTGTGCTATAAGGAATGTGCCTTCTTGCTTATATATGTTTGTGGTGAAACTACATGCTTAAAAAATAAAACATTCTTGAATTGCAACAACTGGCTACTAAATTAGACCCTGTAAGGAAAAGTAAACTACTGTATTCTTACTTCGTCAAAACATCTCCCAAACAGGCCCTCATTCAACCCACATGGTTGATTCTCAATTTCTAAGGCTAATTTGCCTACTTGTATTGCGTCCAGTCTATTTTTGTGAAGGTTCTCTTGTTAACAGTGATAGAAACAACACAGTGTCTGTAATTTTATGTTAATTAATTTATCTTTCTCATTATACTGGTCACATCTTCTGTGTTCATTTACAACTTTTTATAAATTTGCATAATTTTGACAGGACAATGGTAAAATTTAGAGTCATAAGTCTAGTACATTGCACAACTTGAGTGGAAGGTTTTATTCTGCAATTTAGCTGTAATCTCTTGTAACAACAACACAGACTTGTATAAATAAAAAACAACAACAACAACATTGTGTCATTGACGTTTGTAGTGTTTCCCTTTCTGTAAAGTTAAAAAATCATCCTATAATAAGTAGTCCAGAAAGTGCAATAGAAAAGAAAAAGGAACAAAAAGGAAAAAGAAAAAAAAGAGGAGGTTTTTAATGGTGTTTATTTTGGTAGATATGTTGATTTTAAGTTGAATTGGATGTGGCACAAGAGTGGTGTTGGATTTTGGGTAGATAGTGGTGATGCAGGTTGATGTTACTGGAGCGTTGTGACTTGGGTCAATGAATGACTTTTTTTTTTTTAAGCAAATATGTACACATCCTACTACCTCCACCGAGGTTCAAACTCCCAACCTCCCATTTGGAAAAGAATGAGTGATAATGCTGGGCCATTTGGGTCAATGGATGATCGGTAATGTGGTAGTTGTGCACTTGTTTGGCTTATTGGATGGTTAAAATCATGTCCCAATATTCACCCTATTTTATTGCATATCTTCATTCATTATATATCTTACTGCTTATGCATTAAAAAATTGTCTTAGAAAGAGGGGGAAATATATATATATATAGACACACGGGTTGGTTTGAGCTTGGTTCAAATTTCTTGAATGTGGTATGAATTACGAAAAATTAACAAATGTAGTGGTGGTAGAGAGGAGAGGCAGTACCGTAATTTAGTAATACTTTCTCGATTTTTAAAATAGAAGGAGTGAGGATTGAAGTTTAAATAGGAAGAAAGTGAGTGTGCATGTGGGGTTTTTTTTTTTTAACATATATAATAATAATAATAAATAAATAAATAAATAAAAATTAACTGAGTGATTAATGGGTGAGATAGTGGAAAGGTGGGTCCTATATGTTGCATCACTCTAGAGGACCAGAGAGCCCAAAAAATGGCCTAGTGAATATAATGGTCGTTATAACTTCTAAGTTACAAACTTAGAACTGATTGTACACTGTATCAATTCTATTCCCTTTTCTCGCCGCAACTTGTGGAGCTGCATCTGTCAACATCTTTTTGAACCACCATTTGTTCACAGTAATTCTTTACCATTTGGCTGTGAAGAAAATAATGTTGAAAACTGAGTAATAAAATGTTGAAGTAAACGAAAGGGAATATATATATATATATATATATATATATATATATATATATATATATATATATAATTGGTCCAATTCAAGGGTTCGTGCCCTAATTCACATTTCCATCCCCAATTGTTTTACTTTTAACTCATTAGATGCTTGAATTGCTGCTAGAGATCTATTTTTCTCTTCTATTTTTCTCAAGTTCCATCCCCAATTGAATTACTTTTAACTCATGAGATGCTTGAACTTATATGGCTTTGAGTTATTGAAGTAATAGTATGAGTTATTGAAGTAATATATATTATTTTTGTTGTTATTAATTATAGTGTTGTTATTAATCTGTTAGATGGATATCAATGTTGAGAATGTGGAACAATGTGGTAAATATCTGACAATTGAAGAAGAAGGGGTGGCTGAAGTTACGAAAGATGGAAAAGTGTTATGGGATGACTCACTTACTGAAAAATTCTGTAATATTATGGAGGAACAAGTTAGGGCTGGCAATCGTACTGACACAACATTTAATCCAAAAGGTTGGACTACTATGGTAAAAGAAATGAAGGTTCAAACAGGGATAATATTTGACAAAACCCAACTTCGGAATAAGTTTAACCAATTGAGGACAATTTATATCGAGTTTAAGAAATTGTTATCGGAGACTGGCGTGGGATATAACCATGAGACGGGTATGGTTATAGTTGAGGAAGAGAGATGGGGCAGGTTGAGCAAGGTTAGTAATTTAATTATTAGTCCTAAATAAATAATAAAATATCGTATATTATTTGTTATGAGGTTAATATTGTAACAAAATTTTGTAGGTTATTAAGGGTACAAATAAGTTTCGTAGACATGGATATAAGCATTTTGACAAGATGTCGACTATATTTGGGGACACATATGCAACAGGAATGCATGCCCACCCCTCCACTACAGCACCCCCCACAATCATTTTGCCCACTCCCAATGATGACGATGATGAGGAAGAGGGTTGTCATGTCAGTCCCCCACCTTTACGTAAAAGTAAGAAAGCCAAAAGAGATAGTTTATCTCCCAGTATGGCTGCACTCTTGTCAGGCATGGATGAGAATTCTGCGAGGAGAACTAAGAGAATGGAAGCTGCAATAGAGAAAGCAATTAAAGCATCTTCTACTTCTACTCGTGTATCTTCATGTGAGAAAGGAGATGATGAATTTCTCTCTCCCTCTAAAAAGGATAAAGATGATGAAATGTTTGAAGCCTGCATGCTCCTTTTACAAAAAATACCTGGAATTGAGATGGCCCAATTTGCTAAGGTATCGAAGTTGTTACATGATTCTGAGAAGTGGCAGAAATTTTTTCTCAGTTCTCCTGAGGAGATAAGAATTGGTTGGGCACTAAATGTTTGAGTCTTTCTTTATGGATGATTGTGTTTTGTTGTTTGTTTAACTTATTACTATCTCACATTTGGATGACTGTAATAACTAAATACTTTTATTTCTTGGATGACTGTACTGCTATTATTTAAATGTTTTTCTTATTAAGTTAAATGTTTTGCTTATTAACTTAAATATTTTATTTATTACTTAAATGTTAAGCTTATTAACTCAAATGCTTTGTTTATTATTTAAATATTTTGTTTATTATTTAATTGTTTTGCTTATTAACTTAAATGCTTTGCTTCTATTAAATCTTTAAATAGGGCAATGGATATGTGGAACCATATAAGAAGAATAATTCAATTTTATGACGATGAGGAGGACAATGAGAGTGTCTTAATATTTGCTACTCTTTTAGAAGAGTAAAACTTCTATCAAAAGAGGAGTTGTAGGGATTCCATTTTACAAGGGGAAACGTATGTTATGGAGATTTTAAACGGCCACAGAGAAAGATGTTATGAAAATTTTAGGATGTATCCTGAAGTTTTTAGAATATTGTGTAGTTCCCTGAAAGGTATAGGGCTGAAAGATTCTAAATTTTTAACTGTTTATGAACAAGTGGCAATCTTTTTGCTCACTTTATCTCATAATCAAAGGAATCGTGTTGTAGCTGAGAGATTTCAGCACTCCACTGAAACCATTTCCAGACACTTCCATGCTGTGTTACATGTAGTATGTCAGTTGGGCACCCATATCATTGCCCCTCCTGATTTTTCTGTGATTCCGAATAAGATTAGAGAGTCTTCTAGGTTTTTCCCTTACTTTAAGAATTGCGTGGGAGCTATAGATGGAACCCACATTCCTGCAACTCTGCCAACAAGTACACAACTTCCATTTCGTGGTAGAAAGGGTTATACCATATAAAATGTAATGGCTGTATGTGACTTTGACATGAGGTTCACATATGTGCTAGCTGGGTGGGAAGGCTCCGCTAATGATTCGAGAATCCTAAAGGAGTGTATTGAGAATGAGGCAATGAACTTTCCAGCTCCACCAGCAGGTAATATTATCTTACAAATTCACTTAATATATGGTTAGTTTATCTTACTGTATATATCTTTATGTATTTTAAACATGGCAGGTAAGTATTATTTGGTGGACTCAGGATATGCCAACAAGCCTGGTTATTTGGCCCCATTTCGAGGTCATACTTACCACTTTCAGGAATATCGTAGGACTAGACAACCTCGTGGTCGGGAGGAAGTGTTCAATCATAGGCATTCATCTTTGAGAAATATAATTGAGCGATGCTTTGGGTTGTTGAAGATGAAATTCGCTATTTTGAGGGCAATGCCTCCTTATAAGTTTTCAACACAAGTATTGATTGTAATGGCTTGTTGCACATTACACAATTTCATCAGAAATCAGCATCAGCCTGATAATTTATTTGATAGTAACGATCCTCCTCAAAGTGATGGTGAAGATGATGAGATTGTTGAGCATGTGCCTTCGGCTCAGCTTCGAGAAATGGATCAGTTGCGTAATACTATTGCTGATCGAATTTGGAATTCTCTTTAGCACTTTTGATCCTTCTGAAAGTGATGGTATATTTTTTCTTTTATATGTCATATATTTGTTGCTATTGTAAGCTTATAATATATATATGTAATATAAATCATTTTTGCAGATATATAATTCAACTTAAATGCTATTATTGCAGATATGAAGTGTGTTGATGTTCTCTTAAAGGCCACATGTGCTGTTATGAAGATGATGTGTCGTTGCCATTGTCATCCACTTTATGAACTTCTTATCAATTTTTACTGACAACTATGTATTGTTAATGCTTTGTTCCAAACATTTTATGTACAACTTAAACTTGTTTAATTTGTTGGTTGAATATTTAAAGACTTGTAAATGGTATACACTCTATTTCAATTATGCTTTCAGTTGGGTTTGTTTTTATTTTAATGTTGTGTTGGACTATACAGGTAACAGGATAATAAAATTGAAGCAGGTTATTGCAAAGAACTTGTAAATAGGTTATTGCTAATTTTTTTTACAAATGTTGATTCTCATGTAGTATAGTAAAATGTGACTAGAAATATTTTTATTTTTAATGTTGTGTTGGACTATACATGTATAATGATAATAAAATTGAGGTGAGTTATTGCAAACAACTTGTAAATAGGTTATTGAAAAAATTTATATATATATATATATGTTTGTGGGTTCAAATTTCTCCATATTTATTAAAAATATGATAACTATTTATAAATATACATAAAATTTATAAAAACAAATAAAAAACAAGGATAACCAAACATGTTTTTTTATTTCTGTTTTTTTTTTTTTTTACAACAGTTGGACTGACCAAACATATTTTGTTTTCAAAAATTTTGAAACGCATGACTTACCAAACATGTTTTGCATGTTTTTGCTTTCGACATTTCCACAGCAAAACATCGTTTCCAAACGAGCTTCCAAATTTTTTCCAAAACACTCCTACAGCAAAAACACTGTTTCCGTTTTAACTAAAAACAAAACGCCAAAAACAAAGCACATGCCAAACGGACCCTAATAGTTTACAGGCATTCACTTCACTTTCTAACTCTTTTTTTTTTTTTTTTTTTTCGAGTCCCAACCAAAAGAGGAAATGGAAAATGGTTGATTTGAAAACTCTGAAAATATTGAAGTTTAGGATGATAGAGACCTAAGAAAGTGAAAATTTCAAATTAAGATGGGAAAGTGGATTGAAATTTCTTAACATTTAAAAAAAACCAAAAAAAAAAAAAAAATTAATTAAATATAATATTTCTCCCAATTAGTTTTATTTATTTATTATCTGACAAGGAGAGTTAGTAATTGGTGAAAATAAATGGGAAGTGAATTCAAACCTAAAATCATAGGATGGGGGCACTTAAAACCTAACCCTTTAACACTCGAACAACATCACTACACTTATTTATTAACACAACCCTACATACCCACTTCTTGATTTTTTTATTTTATTTTTATTTTTTTTACTTTCTTCCCCCTAATGTTCTACTTGATGCCAATGCAAATTCCACTCCTTGCTTACTCCCTTTTTCTTTTCTTTTTTGACTTTATTTACCACTAATGTTCTACTTTTACATCAATGCAATTCACATGAATGTCACAACATGAAATTATTCTGATGTTAATGTCAATGCAAATTCAAATGGAAGTCACAAGTAATTTAAACAAAGGCATATCTCAACTGAACAGATACAACTAAACTAAAATTCTTAAGAAATCTACACCAATCTTATGAGGAACAAGAACTGATAGAACTGATACAAACTAATATCAAGTAATATATTTTAATTACAGACTAAAATCAAAAGTTTGCAGACAAAGCATTAAGCATATGTGATCAATGAACAAGCTAGGCAGATTGATATGTATTCTTTATAATTCTGAAAAACTAATGTGCATTTCTCTTCAGCAGGAAAGGCCACGGATGATCTGTTTGCAGTCCCAACTTTAAAAAGAAAGCTAAGGAGGTCACCAAATTCAATCCACAATAGAAAATGATAATTGGTCTGACAATCGGACATATTCACTATTTTATTTTTTTACTTATTTGTAATTTTCTTTTTTCATAAATGTAGCTGAGGCGAATTTTTCGACTATGTCACAACTCATTTTTAAATGCTCAAATATATATATATATATATATAAAGTGCCTTGCCAAATACAAAATGAAAATGTGCAATTGTCTTTAATGTTTCAACAATACAACCAATAGAATTTGCTAATATTTTCACTACAATCGGACAATAATCAATTCATTGTTTGCAAGTATTTTGGAATTATTATTTGTAAAATAACAAAGATTCTTAAAAGTCAAAAATCCTAGCTGTCTATACCCAAAAAAAAAAAAAAAAAAAAAAAAAAAAAAAAAAAAGGGGTTGTTATAATCATTGTGATTCTTTAATTATAATCTTGAATGACGAAAAAAACTTATTAGGGTACTATATTTTACAAAAGGAACCAAATTCTCAGAGTTTGACCCATTAATCTTGCTATCACCAAACAAATTAAGGATTAATTTGACATTCCTTTGATTTCTTTAATACTTCTGCAACCAAATCCGTGCCAAGGTGTCAACCTCAGAGGAGAGTCAAATTCTTAGTACAATAGTTTACAAATATACATATAATAAATAGGATTAACTGCAATAAAGCCCTCGAATTATCAATGATTAACAAATAATCCCCTAATTACACTTTACCTCCTAAAAACTAGGCAAAATATTCTTGATAGAATACTATTTTAAAGGCAATGTAGTCTACGTGGTATCTCTCCTACTTTTAAGGCCAGGGTTGAGTTTCCATAAAAACAAATTGGTGTGTGATTTTTTTGCCATGAAAAAAATAAATAAATTCCATAATTAAAACAACCTCATTTCATTTATTATCCAAGTTCTGATTGTCAGGAATGGGTTCATGCAACAGTTGTTTGATGCAGGTGGAACAAGTTTCGGGACAGTGTTTAACTTCTTGTTCTAGTTTTGGAACAAGCTTGCATTGCATGGTTGTCAAGAATTGGTTAATGCAACAGTTCTTTGTTGCAAGTGGGTCGATAATAATGTACTGGGTGCGTGACTGCATAATTGAAGCTCGTCAGGTGTTTGATGAAATGCTTAAACGAGATGCTGACTCATGAAATTCGATGATTGCAAGGTACTAGCAAATGGGTTTGCATTGAGAAGCTTGTGGTTTGTTTTATTATTTGATAAATAATTGTTCTGATTGGAAATTGTTTGCAAACAATTTTACTCATTGCTAGATCAGTAAGTGCACTGTGGTGCAATAAAATTTGCTTTTGATATGGATATATTTGTTGTCGGGTTTGTAATTGATATGCATTTATAATGTGATCATTTAACCAATGCGCCATTAACCTAATGGTATAACCTCACCTCCTTCAAAGGGGAGGTGAGCCTATACCCTAAAAAGGGTGATTGTTTAAATATGTGGTACTTGTGTTTTTGATCGGATGGAAACTCATAATCTTGTGACTTGGAACACTATGATTACTGGGTATGCTCAAAATGATGATGGAGAAGAAGCTAATGAGTTGTTTCATAGAATACAGCATGAAGGTTTTTTTGGCCTAATGAGACCACATGTGCTAGTACGTGTTTCAAAAGCGTCCACTGTGTTGTCAGACAGTGCAACTGATAGATATTTCCATGCTAAAACCGTGAAGCTTGGATACGTATTGGACATATATATATAGATAGATAGATAGATTGAGAGAGGGAGAGGTTCGGAGTTAGGGATTTATAACGGTCAAAAGGCCATCTTTGGCATCAGGTCTTAGGATTAATTCCCGGTGCAAATAATTTCTTGGATGTGTGTGAGTACCAACTAGGAACAAAAAAAAAAAAAAGGGCGTCATTGTCTTTTGAGCTTTAGAAGGGCATTTTTTTCATTTAATAAAAATTACCTTCTAACGTGACTGGCTTGCCCCACTTAGCCGTTAACTTCTCAAAAATGTGATTGTTTTTTGCTACAAAACGTGATAGTTTTAGGGTTTTTGTGTGAAAATTTTAGTTTATATGCTGGCTTACTGATAGTTTGAGGGGGTTTATAGCAATTGCCCTAATAAATATACATGTTATGTTCATCTAAAAATAATAGATGATAGCCAAGAAACATTCTTAAAATAATTTTTAGTATTCCTGGAATCCTGCTCTCTCCACATGCAGGGTTCATAGGCAAAGAGTAGTTTATTTGTTTTGAATGTTGCATTTGAGTGATTCAACACCATGATAGTCACTTACATTCTTGTACATGTGTGTGTATCACATCATATTTGTTTAGACATTAATTTCCTCTGCCATTAGTAAGATCTTCATATGCATTTCCGAAAAAAATATTTTCATATGTACTTTCTTATATTAACTACAAGTAACATGATGAACAAGACTACATAAGGTTTGAACATTTAAAATAAACATTATGATTTGTCATTTGACTTGTATACACATTAATAAAAGGTTACCTATGTCAACATCCTACATAGGTTCAAGAGGGTTGACAGAGTAGCTCACATACTTTAACTTATCATATTATATTACAACGTGAGCAGCATATACATAGGATGTAGGAATATAAATATAAGATCAAACCTCCTATAAGCCTTGCCTCTTCTGCATGAAGACTCGGAATAGAAAGATGGAAATGCCAAAATGCTTCTTCTTTGCATTAATCCTTGGTACTTTTGTCCTTGCAGTTCATGCCCAGGTCCCTAATAATTCAGGTTTTTAAACACTTTCTTGAGATATGTATACGATATATTTATTTTTGTTACACTAAACATATGACTTTCTTTCATTTTCAAAGGTTTCATAAGCTTAGATTGTGGGATATCCGATGATTCCAGCTACACGGATGAGACAACCGGAATACATTATAGTTCAGATGCAGCTTTTATAGACACTGGTGTAAGCATGTCTATATCTCCCGAATTTAAGACTAACTCACTCCAACAACAGTTGTTGACTGTTAGGGGCTTTCCTGAAGGAACCAGAAATTGCTACACCATAAGACCTGCAACAGGGAAAGGTAACAAATTTTTGATAAGGGCCTGGTTCATGTATGGAAACTATGATGCCCAAGGTAAACCACCGTCATTCGATTTGTACCTTGGAGCTGATTTATGGGATAGCGTGTCATTGTTTGTTTCATCTTATATTTGGTGGAGTGAGATTATACATGTCCTCACCGATGAGTATTTATATGTTTGTCTCCAAGACAAAGGTCTCGGAACACCTTTCATATCAGCATTAGAGCTAAGGCCTTTGAATAACTCTATTTATACAACTGTATCTGGATCACTGTCCCTCTTTGATCGTTTGGATTTGGGTTCAACAGCAAAAGACTTAGTCAGGTATACGCCATCTTTCATAACAAAGTATTTTTTTTTCTTTTTCCCCCTTTTTTTTTTTTTTTTTTTTCCAAATACTGAATAAAAATCTCACTATGGTACTAATATCTCATTTAGGTACAAAGATGATCCTTATGATCGTGTATGGAACCCTTTTCCATTGATGTTTTATCCCTTGGTCAGTAACCCCAAAATGATAAGAAATTTGTCTACCATGAACTCTCTAGCTCCCGATTTCTACCAAGTACCACCTGCTGTCATGAGCACAGCTATCACGTCACAAAATGCTAGTGACTCATTGAATTTTTGGTGGTATCCTAACAATTCTTCTGACCAATTTTATATCTACATGCACTTTGCTGAAGTTGAAGTATTGCAACATAATCAATCCAGAGAATTCTACATCAATATAAATGGGACACGATGGTTGAAATATCCAGAAGTTCCTGATTATTTTTCAGCAGATACAGTATATAGCACAGCGCCTCTGTCTTTAGAAGTGTTTAATATTTCAATCACCAAAACAAAAAATTCAACCCTTCTACCCATCATAAATGCAATGGAGGTTTATACTCTGAAACAGATTATACATTCACAAACAGATGATGAAGATGGCAAGTGATTACCAACATTTATTTTATTTTCAATCTCATTTCATATAGTGCATTCCTTTTTTCTTCTTCATGTTTTAACTCTCATATTTTTGGAATATTAGTTTCTGCTATCCTAGGCATCAAATCAACATATGGAATGAAAAGGAACTGGCAGGGGGATCCATGTGTTCCTGAAGGTTTTGTGTGGGCTGGCCTCAATTGCAGCTATGATGTTTTCAATCCCGCTAGGATCACATCAATGTATGTTTATGCCTTTAAATAATTATACTAATTTTTTCATCCAAATCCATATATTCACAGCATTATTCAACTTGCAATCAGGAATTTATCCTCAAGTGGACTGACAGGGGAGATTGCTCCTCAAATTTTCAATCTCACGGTGATACAATCTTTGTAAGTACAATGATCTCACAAAAGCCACTAAGATGTCAACTTATTCTTCTAGATAACAAATTATAGACAAACTTATACTTCTGCTCAATTCAGGGATTTGTCGAACAATAAACTAACTGGACCGGTGCCTAGTTTTCTATCCCAACTTGATTCTTTGACAGTCCTGTAAGTTACTTTTCTCTGTGATTTGACTTGTAAGCTTAACAGCACAGAACAGGCCATCACGTTTGCTCTACGTTGGCAGAAACTTGAGAGGAAACAATTTCACTGGTCCAGTTCCAGAAGAACTCCTTGAAAAATCAAAAAATGGATCACTATTATTGAGGTTAGCTCTTTTTACATGATGATTCTTGATTTAATATTGCACTTTTCCCCCAATATATCTCCAAAAGTTTTTAAAAGTAATACACAGCTGACTGTCATATTTATTTTTCTTTGAAATGGTAAATCATTAAACATTTCCATGCTTAAAAGTTGCCAATCATTAGGACTCCTTAATAGCTACCAATGATTCTTAGTTTAACATTTGTCATCAAAAACAGTATCGATGCAACTGATCAAGTGACTGAAAACACAAATTCCTGTCAGTCTATTCCATGCAAAAAGAAAAGGAACAAGGTTGTTGTTCCGGTAGTAGCATCTGTTACTGCATTGTCTGTGCTCTTAATTGCAATAGGGTCTGCCTTATGGATCATTGAAAAGAGAAAACAAGGTATGGGATTATTCTCAAAGTTTAAACATCAAGAGTTTCGAATCTTAATATCCGACTTTCAATGATTAAACTATATCTATTTCAATTCAATATGATCTTAGTAGTCAGGAAACAGAAAGATGGGGCCTTTGATGTAAAGAATTGAGGGTTTACATACTCTGAGGTCCTGAGTATTACCAACAAGTTCCAAAGGGTTATTGGGAAAGGAGGATTTGGAACAGTTTACCATGGCAATGTAGGGGACACTCAAGTTGCTGTAAAGATGCTCTCTTCATCATCAGTTCAAGGGTATAAGGAATTCCAGACCGAGGTAGACTGCATAACTCTAGTAACAGCTTTCCAAACCATTGCTATTATTGGATGCAATCCAATGAGATGTCGCATTTCCAGTAGAAATTTTGCGTTCATCAATGTATGCATTAAACTAAATGTGGTTTTATGCTGCAGGCAAAACTTCTTATGAGTGTTCATCATAGAAACTTAACTTCTCTTGTTGGGTACTGCAATGAAGGCACCAACTTGGGAATCATCTATGAGTACATGGTTAATGGAGACTTGGAAAGTCACCTATCAGGTATACAATTTACACTTAAAAGTTTCTGACAAGAAAAGTATACGTTATTCTAATACCATTAACAAAAAGGCTTGAATTGCTAATTTGTGCACACAGAAAGAAATCCAAATGTTTTAAGTTGGGAAGAGAGGATTCGGATAGCAGTAGATGCTGCACAAGGTTAGTAAGTTGATGAATGCCATTTATTTTCCCTTTTACTTATTATTTTCCTTATAAATTTAACTACCCCAAAAATGTTGATTGGAATTGAAGGATTGGAGTATCTACACCATGGTTGTAAGCCACCAATAATCCACCGAGATATCAAGTCTACCAATATCTTATTAAATGAAAAATTCCAAGCCAAACTTGCTGATTTTGGACTGTCCAGAGTTTTTCCAACAGAAATTGGCACACATGTATCAACAGTTGTTGCTGGCACTCCTGGGTACCTTGACCAGGAGTGAGTATTATTATTCCATTTTCCCCTCCCCCTCCCACAAAAAAAAAAAAAAATTTGAATTCATTTGTTTGAAGAAGTAAATTATATTGTTAATTACATGAAATTGATTACTAGGTTTGTTTTACAGGTATTTCACATCACATAGGTTGACTGAGAAAAGTGATATCTATAGCTTTGGAATTGTTATATTGGAGATAATCACTGGCCAGCCACCAATACCCAAAAGTCCTGACAACACTCACACAATTCAATGGGTTAGTTCCATGCTTGAAAATGGGGATGTTAGAAGTATTGTTGATCCCAACTTACAGGAAGACTACGATGTTAATTCTGTTTGGAAAGCTGTAGAACTAGCAATGGCTTGTGTATCTCGCATTTCCACCAGAAGGCCAACCATGAATTATGTTGTTACGGAATTGAAGGAGTGTGCGGCAATGGTGGTAGCGCCACATGAGTCAGATCAATCAAATGATTCAATTGCAATGATACCAATGAATTTGGAGACTGGAGTGAGTCCCGTGGCAAGGTGAGATCTCTGCTAAAAGTTATTTCTGTTGGATGCTGATGGTACTGCGTCGGTGTTTCTGTATTTGTATTTCACCATGTTAAGAGTCTGTAGAAAACTTGGAGTCTATCATGACCCTGAAGTCTTTGTCCCAGTGGAGGGGTGTGTGTTTGTGCATGTTTGTGTATTATTGGGTGCAAATTGTGAGTTACACGATGGTATGAACAAATTCTATGTAGTTTTTGTACGCAAAAGCCGACTATTGATATTTGATATATATTTATTTTTTAAAAATTTCAGCCAACCTCTAAAGCATCAATTGTATAAATTTATCGCTTACACAGATGTAACTAATTCTTAAAATAGTGCTGGTGAAAATGAAAAAGGAAGGCCTATAAAAAAAAAGAAGCTAAAATGGCGATCAAATGCATTGGAGGCAAGCTCAAATGAAAAAACAGGGGAGCATTTTTTTATTTCGATGGTAGTGACAGGCAATCTACTGGTTGTGTGCTTGTAGTTTCACTTGTATTTACACGTTTTTCATCACTTTGTGTGTGCGGTGGTGCCAGAGTCCTTAACTCAAGGGTGTGAGCTGAATGGTATTGCCCTCTATCGACTGTGACATACAATGCTATGTAGAAATGGCGGTGATAGTGACTAGGCGACTCTAAGGAGGCAAGGGAGGATCTTCCTATGGGATTAGTGTTGCCAGGTGAATAAGGTAAATGGAGATGGAGCATGGTATGGAATACATTGTGAAAAAGAAAATGGGGATGAAAATCCATGTTGAGATGGAGAATGATTGGAAAATATATTCCATTAATACATTGTATAATAAATTTGGATTACTGGAGGGAAGTACAGTGAGCTAAAATGATAAAGACACATCCGAAGGAAGACGATGTAACCATATTCTCGTTGCCCATAAACACATCAAATACGAAAACTGTATATACATACATATAGATATATATGTATATGGAGAAATATAACTAAGCAGACAAAGAAAGAGAGAAGAGTTAGACAACAAGAGAGTGTACAGGTAATTTAGACATTTCAGAGGTGGTGTAACGCCCCTAAACTGATACCAAATTCAAAAAAAAAAAAAAATTCGACATGACCTCCCCTAAAAAGGGTCCTACCACAACTTGTTCAAATGAAAAAAAATGCGATGGCCTTTCAAGACTTATCCAACCTGTCCCAACACACAATACAAAAGAAATATAATACATTCCCCAATACCACAACATCAACAATCTCCCCAAGTTAGCCCATCATCGTCATCCCATTCAACTTAAGCATTTACATAGTCTTGCTTCCCTTCAAAATATCAACAAGAGTTATGATTTATAATACATGACCTTGTCTTGCAAAAATGAATACACGACATTTTAGTTTTGAGACTATACAAAAAAAATGGGCTAAGATACAAAAGATAACAAAATACAACTCCTAATCTTCTTCAAGCTTGTGGAGGATTTTCATCCGCCACTTCTTTCCCATTTCCTGAAAAAAAAAAAAAAGTTAAATAAATGAGGTGAGCATATTGCTCAGTAGGTGGCACCTAAGACATACCTCTTGTGTCCCCATGAATTCATACAAAGAATAGAGCAATAGGAATCGGGGTCATACTATGTCGGGAAAGTACAACATCACATCCAAACTCAACATCAACAATACAATACAATGGAATGCAATGCGTGACACATGTCGCTCCCCATTTTCAAAATCATTCATCTGTCACTTTCCAAACTGTTAATGTAACCCCCTTTGGTACCCCCGCAGCAACGAGAGAAGGATTGGCTACTGTCCCTAAACCTTTGGTGACTCCGCAGCGTTATCGAGGGGCCCAAGTAGCTCAACCACGCTAGGGCAATCTCCCTAGTTCCCTCTAGGCTACATTACCTACCGGCCCGTTGGTGACTCCGCAGCGACCGGGTTTTCTCAAAATTCTTTTTATCAAAAACTTATTTCCCAAAATTCTCTTTTTTTGTTTTCAAAACATTTTCCCTTTTTCCTTCATGCGCAATGCCATGGATGCATAATGCACACCCATTTTATACTATGGAAATGGAGGGAACTATTATTACACAATTAACATAGATCCACACAAATTTCCTGACAATTTATCTGTAACGACCCTAGCTGATGCCAAAATTTTAAAAAAAATTCGGCATAACCTCCCCTAAAAATGGGCCTTCAACAACCTGCCCCATTACACAAAACAAAAAAATATACTCCAGCATCCCATTCATCACACCTCAACATAGTTCCTCTTATGGTAGAACATGGACACACCAATTAATCCAAATTATCATAATTACAGTCCCAAAATACACGGTTAAGATCTAAAGTCTATGTCTTACAACATTACATGATACAATTACATGGAAATATATATACCATGATTCCATTAGTTTCATTTACATTAAACAAAAGATAAGTTTGTTCTTAAATTACAAGGCCATGAATACTAACTTAGTTACATTTCCACAACTATGAATATACATAGAATGGTCAAAATACAAGATAGCAAACAACCTTCTAACAACTTTCAAGTTTGCGGAGGATTGTCATCCGCCGTTTCTTTGCCATGACCTGAAAAAAATAATAAGTATGCAGGGTGAGCTATATGCTCAGTAGGTGACACTTAAGACACGCATCTTGTGTCCCCGTGAATCCAAACATAGAATAGGTCAATGAGAATGGGGATCATACAATATCGGGATAATACAACATTCCAATCAAACTCAAGTACAAACAATGCAATGCCATGAAATGCGAATGCATGCCGATGTCGCTCCCCGTTTTCACATTTAAAATCCATCACTTTCAAACTGTTAATATAACCCGCCCTTTGGTGACCCCGCAGCGACACGAGAGGAGGATTGGCTAGTGTCCTGACCCTTGGTAACCCCGCGGCGTCATTATGGGGCCCAGCTAGCTCAACCACGCTAGGGCGACTCCCTAGTCCCCTCTAGGCTATATTAACACTCCGGCCCTTTGGTACCCCCGCGGCGACCGGGTTTTCCAAAAACACTTTCATTAAAATACTTTTCCCCAAAACTCCCTATTTTCATTTCAAAAACAATCTTCCCAATCATGTCTCATGGTATGCATGTACATCATGTTCTTAATGCCATGGAAATGAAGGCTTTCACATTATACAATTGTGCATACATTACAAGTACTCTAGGAAAATTACACATGCCATCCGATATCATTCTAGCAAGTTTTACAACAATATAAGCATGGTAAATCAATTTATCAGATAAGGAAATTAGTCAAATAAACATGTTCTCATACAACTCAAGTAACACATTTAATCATAACCTCACATATAACACTTACATCATCTTTAATACAATTAATTCAAAAATAAGCATGCTTTTCAACAATTTAGGAGGTATAATTCACAAAAGAGCAAGAACATCATGAGTTAAGGGCCCCTACCTCAAGATTGCACAAAACCCTTAAAATGGGTCCTTAAATTCGAGCTCCCAAAGAGGACCAAAAGCTGGAATTTCTGGTACTAGCACGTAGAGCTCGTCGTGCTCGTCGTTTTGCCTCAAACGGCACCTAAATCCGCTAAGAATTGAGAGAGAAATCAAGGATTGAAGTTGAAAAAGAAAAAAGAAAAGAAAAAAAACAGAAGCAGCGAGAGAGAGATATATAAGCTGCCCGAGAGAGAAAGCAAATTGGAATTAAATGGGTCTGTAATGACCCTTATATCTCAGGTGGGCCCCACAGTTGAAAAGTCATTATACTAAATATATATATAGATAAGTCAAAAACTTTACATTCTCCCCAACTTTAAAAGATTTCGTCCCCGAAATCAAGACATACCTGGAGAAGAAAACAACTCTGGATACTTAGAGCGAACCTCCTGTTCGAGCTCCCAAGTAGCCTCCTCGACTCCGTGGTGTCTCCAAAGGACTTTCACCATTGATATCGTCTTGTTCCTCAACACCTTTTGTTGTGTGTCAAGAATCTAAACTGGTCCTTCCTCGTAGGAAACATCCTCATCAATGTCTACATCAACCCAACTCAAAATGTGAGATGGATCTGGCTCGTACTTCCGTAACATCGATACATGGAAAACATTGTGGACCCTATCCAACTGTGGTGGCAAAGCAAGTCTGTAGGCAACCTCTCCTACACGGTCCAAAATCTCAAATGGTCCAATGAATCGTGGAGACAACTTACCATTTTTCCCGAATCTCATCAATCCCTTCCATGGAAAAACCCGAAGAAAAACGTGGTCTCCCACCTCAAAGGATAACGACCGTCTCCGCTTATCCGCATAACTCTTCTGTCGGCTCTGAGTTGTAAGTGACCTTTGTCTTATCAACTTAATCTTCTCAGCAGTCTCGAGTACAATGTCAGGTCCTAAGGCGGCTGTCTCACCTACCTCAGTCCAACAAACAGGAGACCTACAAGGTCTACCATACAACGCCTCAAATGGAGCCATCTGAATGCTCGCCTGATAACTGTTGTTGTAGGCAAATTCAATAAGTGGAAGGTGATCCTCCCAACTACCACCCAAGTCAAGCACACATGCCCGAAGCATATCCTCCAAAATCTGGATAGTACGCTCCGACTGACCATCAGTCTGTGGATGGAATGCCGTACTCAGGTGCAACGCTGAGCCAAACGCTGCTTGAAGTCCTTCCCAAAACTTCGAAGTGAACTTAGCATCCCTATCTGAAACAATGGTTACTGGAACTCCATGCAACCTTACAATCTCCTTCACATTAAGAACACCAAGCTTTTCTGCATCATCTGTTGCCTTAATAGGCAAAAAGTGAGCCGTTTTGGTCAATCTGTCAATGATGACCCATACGGACTCATTGCCCCTTCGTGACTTTGGAAGACCTGTCACAAAATCCATAGCAATATGCTCCCATTTCCATTGCACTACAGGTAATGGTTGCCACAAACCGGCTGGTCTCTGATGCTCAGCCTTCACCTGCTGACAGGTAAAGCATCTAGCCACAAACTGTGCAACATCTTTTTTCATCCCGTTCCACTAATACTGACGTCTCAAATTGTGATACATCTTGGTACCACCTGGATGAATTGCAAAGCGGGAAGTGTGAAACTCCCGTAAGACATCCTCACGACAAACAGTAGGAACCACCAACAAACCCCTGAACCGTAGACCCCCATCTGTATACAAAGCCCAATCTTTCACTGTCTCACCATTGGAGATCAAAGCGTGAATGGCATCTAAATCCGGGTCCTGTCTCTGTGACTCAATCACTCGTACAATAAGAGTAGGCTAAGCCATAAGACTAAACAAGAATGCCGGCTCACTGTCAACATCGTCATCAAAACAATACAATCCCATCTCTGCCAAATCCTTAAGCATCTTTCACTTCCGAATAGCCAGACAGGCCAAAGTTCCATGAGATTTTTGGCTTAAGGCATCTGCTACCACATTTGCCTTGCCCGGATGATATTGTAGATCAAAATTATAATCTTCCAAGAATTCAACCCATCTTCTCTGTCTATTGTTCAAGTCCTTTTGGGAGAAAAGGTACTTAAGACTTTTATGATCCGAGTACACCTCGAATCTCTCACCATACAAGTAGTGTCTCCAACACTTCAAAGCAAACACAACTGCCGCCAACTCCAAATCATGAGTAGGGTAGTTGTACTCGTGAGTCTTCAACTGTCGAGACCCATAAGCCACTACTCTACCATCCTGCATCAACACACACCCTAAACCATCACGTGAAGCATCACAATAGATCACATAACCCAAGCCACGCTCAGGTATCACCAACACTGGAGTCGTAGTCAATCTTATCTTCAATTTCTGGAAAGATGACTCATAGGCTTCATTCCATGTAAACTTAATCCCTTTCCGGGTTAAACGGGTCATAGACGCTGCCAAACGGGAGAAATCTTTCACAAACCTCCGGTAGTAACCCGCTAGACCAAGAAAACTACGGATCTCAAACACATTCTTGGGTTGCTCCCAATTCAAAACAGCTTCAATCTTTGATGGATCAACTGACACTCCGCCTTCTGAAACAACATGTCCCAAAAACTTCACCTCTTGTAGCCAAAACTCACATTTATCATATTTGGCATACAACCGGTGCTCCCGCAAAATCTGTAAAACAATACTTAAATGGATCTCGTGTTCCTCCCGAGATCGTGAATACACAAGAATGTCATCCACGAAAACTATCACAAACTGGTCCAAGTAATCGTGAAAGACACGGTTCATTAAGTCTATGAATGCCGCTGGAGCATTAGTCAAGCCAAAAGGCATAACAAGGAACTCATAATGTCCATGCCGTGTACGGAATGCTGTCTTCGGGATATCCTCATCCCTAACCCGTAACTGGTAATAGCTAGACCTCAAGTCAATCTTGGAGAAACAATTGGCTCCCCTCAACTGATCAAATAAATCATCTATCCTTGGCAAAGGATACTTGTTCTTGATGGTGGCGCGATTCAACTTCTAATAATCGATGCACAACCTCAAAAAACCATCTTTCTTCTTAGGAAACAAGACCGGTGCGCCCCATGGTGACACACTCGGTCAAATGAAACCTTTCATCCTCAAATCATCAAGCTGTCTTTTTAATTCCTCTAATTCAACTGGTGCCATACGATACGGTGCCATAGAAATTGGCGCGATACCTGGCATTAACTCAATAGAGAACTCCACTTCTCGGTGTGGAGGCAACTCTGTCAAATCCTCTGGAAACACATCCAGAAAATCACGAACAACTGCAGGATAATATTCTTCCACAACATCATCCTCTTCGGCTATAAGGCTAGCCAAAAAGTAATCACCACGACTCTGTCCACGAATTCCATAAAATGATGAAATGTGGGAATCACTTCGATCTCCCACAAAAAAGAAACAGTCTCCCTCGGGAGTACAAACTATAACCCTTCCTCTGAAACAGTCGATCGTGGCATGAAAAGAAGCTAACCAATCCATCCCGAGAATGACATTAAAGCTAGTCATCTCCAGGAGGATAAGGTCAAACACAAAAGTCCGCTCGGCTATCACAATGGAACAGTCCCTCACGACTCGGCTCAAAAACACTGAAACTCTAACTGGCATATCAACACATAACGCCCGATCCATAAAACTAACCTCTAACCCCGATGCAAGTGCAAATGATGATGAAATAAAAGAATGAGATGCACCAGAATCAAACAAAACACGGGCCCAAGAACCAAACACTGGAAATATACCTCGGAGAACTGAAGATCCAGGAGATGTATCAGTCGATGATGCAAGGGCAAAGACAAGCCCCTGCGGTGCCTGTACCTGTGAACTACTAATCTGAACACCAGACTGTTGTGCCGACACAGTAGGAGTATCCCTTCTAGCTGGTCGTGAACCCTGAGAAGATAAGGCAGGCTGTGGTGGTGGCGGCGGTGGTCTGAAACCTGATTGAACCGTAGCCGACTGTAACGGCCTCTGCCATGACCCTCTGCCACTAGTGGTGCCTGCTCCCTGACTCGGACAGTCCCGAATCAAATGGCCCTGCTGGCCACACCCATAACAAGCCTTCGGAGCTGAAGAAACTGAAGTCAATCTCATAGGACAACTGGACTTGTAATGCCTAGGCTGCTGACATTAAAAGCAAACAACTGCATTCCTATCAGACCCAGCTGGCAACGGAGTGGTAGAAGCAGATCGTGCAGACTGCTGTCCCTGAAACTGAGATGGACCGCCCCTGTTTCTTTTCCAAGAAGATCCTTCTGAAGATGGCCCTGCACCCCTCTTTTGCTTCAACTGTTCTCTTCTTGCATCCTTCTCTTTATTATCAGCTTCCAGAATCAAAGCCCTTTCCACTGCTTCAGAGTAAACCTTAATGAACTGTGCTATGATCAACGCCCTCATCTGATCATTAAGACCAGAAACAAACTTTCGAGTCTTGTTAACTTCATCTCTCACCATTTTTGAAGCAAAGCGAGAAAGTGAAGTGAACTTGTTTTCATATTCTGCCACTGACATGCTCCCTTGGATAAGGTTATGAAACTGGTCTTGTAACTCCCATCTTTTGGAAAACGGAAAGTACTTTTCATAAAACAATTCCTTGAACTTGTCCCAACTCATCTCTTTTACCTTGTATCGGCTCGTAACCGACTTCCACCATAATTTAGCATCCTTAGCAAACTTATAAGTAGCTAGGATGATCTTCAAATGATCCTCTGTCACATCCATAAAAGTCAATTGAGTTTCAACTTGCTCCATGTAGTCATCTGCTATCATTGGATCCGCACCGCCCTCAAACATAACTGGCATCAGCTGAGAAAACCCCTTAATAATCTTGAAACGCTTCTGAGCTGGCGTCTCCTCAACTTGAACTGTAGGTTGTGGTGCCGACTACGATTGAGCATCAATTGTTGCCCTCACGACATTTTGCAACAAACGATTAAACTCCAGTGCCACAGAACCTTCACCCACTTCTACGGGTGCTTCAACATTATCCCTTCTTGTGGGGACAGTTCTCGGGGGAATCAAGTCCCTAAGAAGTATGTCCTCATCATTTAGCTCCTCCGGATTGGAGCTGGAGCTCTCGCCAACATCACCCCTAGTCGGTCTAGGGCCAACGTCCCTGATTTCCTCACTCCGTGACATCGTTCTATAAAACAAAGGAAACAATTCAATAACAATAACACTAAGGTCCAACAGTGAACAACCCAATGCAAAAACATACTGTACAAACATTTAGCATGTAATACTAT